CCTTCATCACCAGCCGTCCATTTGAAATACCAAATCAAATTAGCAACAAAATACTCCAAATGAAGCAAAGCCAAACCCGACGCGGGGCAAATCCTCCTTCCAGCTCCAAATGGCATCATCCTGATTTCTCTGCTCCCAGTTATGTCAAAACCACCAGCTTCTCCTCCAACCACGGCCTCTTTATCAGCACCACTGCCATTCCCGCCATTTCCATTAACAATAGTAGAAGTCAAGAATCTCTCTGGTTTGAACTCCTTGGGATCATCCCATACTTCAGAGTCCCACCCCATCTCGGCCACCATGAAATTGATGGTGGCATTCTTCGGCACCACGAACCCTTCTAACTCAGTGTCCTCCGTCACCGAGTGAGGCAATACGAAGTGCGCCGGCGGGTGACGCCTCAGTCCTTCCAACACCACCGCTTTCAAGTATGGCATCCTCTGCAAATCCTCCTCCTTTATCACTGTCAACCCCACCTCCTCATCCGATGGTGGCCGCGGTGGCGGTGATCCCGCGACTCCGGTGACCTCTTCATAAAGCTTGGCCTGAACATCTGGGTACTTCACCAAGCTAGCCATGATCCACTGCAACGCCGTCGAACTCGTGTCAGTGCCCGCGTTGAGAAATTCCCCGCACAGACTCACCATCTCGTCGTCGTTAAGCTTCCTCTTCTCCTCCGGCAACTCCAGATCCATCAAAGTGTCGACGTACGCCACCACACCACCACCGTACTCTTCTTTCCGTTGTTGTTTCTTGAGAGCAACTTCTACTGACCGGGCTCTGATCAGAGGGATCAATACAGCTTCCCGATTTTGTCGCAGCCGTATCAGTTCTTTCCACCGATTCCGGAACAAAATTTTTCCGATGGTCGGCCAGAAATTGAGTATGTTAAATCGGTCAAAACTCAGTAACAGCTCTCGCTGAACTCTTTCAATTTCTTTGATTTGCTTTTCCTCAAGCTTGTCGCCGAAGCACATCAAGACCAGAAGACAGAACATGGCGTACTGAAAATGATCCACCACTATCACGGATTTCGATTCCGACCGCGATTTGTTGAGGCGGTTAATAAGGATGGCGAGAACCCAGTTTCGCGCCGCCGAGTAATTCTTGACGCGGGAAGGGTGGAGTATCTCGGAAGTGAGGTTGCGGCGGAGGGTGCGCCAATTGGGGCCGTAGGCGGCGGAGCTGACGTTGTGTTGGTTGCTGTTGATGATCTTGCTGGTGGCCAGCGCCTTGGGGCGATCGGAGAAGACGGCGCCGTTCTGGACGAGGGCTTTGTGGGCGAGCGAGTGGTTGCCGACTAAGATGACCGGCCGAGACCCTATATGCAGAGTGATGATGGGACCGTACTTTTGCCGGAGATCTTTGAGGACGGGTTCGATCTCCGAAAACGACTTCCGTAGCCATAGAAATTTTCCGATGATCGGAAAAATAAAGGGTCCCGGCGGAAGCTTCTTTTTGTTGTAGGAAGAAGATAAAGAGAAGAGGAGGTTGAAGAAAGATTTGATCAGTGCTGAGATGCATAGGGAGACGACGATGATGAACCAGGTCTCCATGATTATTATTTTCAACCGTGTGTGGGTAGGTGGGTGTGGGGTGTTTAATTATTATGCGTGTATAATATAAATAGAGGATATCTGGCCTCTTTGTAAGGTTCTGTTTGCAAGGGTTTAAAAAAAAAAAAAAAAAAAAGAGACCTCTTTTAAATCCAAAATTCAAATAAAAGGAAAGGGCCGTGAGGCCCACACTGTTGCACAATTGATGGGTCCCACAAGCTGGTGGATATAATATATTTTTTTCTTTTGTTTTCCTGAACACAGAACTGACTCTTCCTCTTTACTTTTTGATGTTTAACCAAAATTCAATGAACTTCATCATCTGTGACTGTATGGTGTCTATTTGCAGATTTGTAATCCTCCGGCTCATTCCATCATGTGTGCGCGCAACATATGAAATTCATTTGATGCAACATTTGTGCTTGTCACAGAAGGCCCGTGTTTCCATTTTTAAATCAATTCCATCCTCACGATGTGTGTTAAGTTATGAAATTCATTTGATACAATATTTGTGATTTGAGTCAATGGTTGCTTGGATTGGATTTCTTAATTTAATGAATTTAATAATTTATTCAATTCTATTTATTTAATACTGAAATACAAATTATTTTATTCAACTTAACCTAATCAGTTTAGGAACAATTCAATTAGTATGTATTAAAATTGGGACAAGTAATCACACCATCCTATGTCCTAGTTCCAATTTGTATAAATATATTGTATATAAGTTATGTGAATAACAAATTGAAAGAGGCAGAGATATGGAAGTTAAGACTAGAGTTATTTAGATAGCATTCACACACAATTTTGACAAAGATATAAGAGTTAAGATTAGAATTATGTAAATAATGTTAATAAGCAATTTTTGCTTACACACTCGATTTCAAACGTCTCTCATCTTTTTTTAGAATGGAAAGAAGTTACCCTCTTCCCCTTAAACACGCTCTTTTTCCTTATTTCATTAATAATAAAGAATTCCATTTTCACCCTCACTCCAGCTAAGAAGAAGAACAGTTTATCTTCACCACTGTACCAATCAGTACTCCATTTTTTTTGGTGACTAGTGTTTATCAAAGACTTTTGCATAGTAATCCATAAATATAATTAAGAATTAGGATTTTTATTATTTTCTAAAAAAATTATACGAGTAAATATTATTAATTGTAAGGGTACTTTTGGATATGGTAGATTTGAAGGGGTAGGGAGATAAAAGAAAAGAAAAAAAAAAAAGGATTGTGAGAGTGTGTTTGGTTGGTTAAAAATGAAATAAAAGAAAGGATAGAGAGAGATAGGGAGAGATATTCTTCTTTATCCCACATTTTCTATCTCTTAAAAAATGAAAAGATAAGGAAAGAAATGATAGTGTAATAGTATTTTCATAATCTTGAAAATGCCTTCAACGATTAAAATTAAAAAATTATTATTTCACTCATATTTAATCTATTTAAAAAGATAATAGTAATTTGGTTGTTATTTTTTCTCTTCTTTTCTCCCCTCTATCATATCAGAATAAAAATATCATTATTTTTTTTTTTTTTTCTATTTATTCAAACATAAATAGATATTATTACTATCCATTCTTTTTATCTAATAACTAATACTATCCTTTTCCCAACACAGCCTAAGATAATAATGGTGAACTAATCACCATTTGATTTGTCTTTTTTATCAAGATTACTCTTTCATTGGTTAAGTCAACCATTCAAATCTCAATTTGGATCCCACCAAGTCTAGACCCGTTTGAAAATAGATAATCTAGGTATCAATGCTGTCTCTTTCTACTGCTTGATGTTTTACCAAACATCATCCTACTATCATCAGACTTGATTAATTTGCAACAAGAGAAAGTAACAAGAGGTTTTATGCTAAAATAATATTTTTAAGTTTGTTAAATAAATGAAATGAGCCACATCAACTTTGACTTATTATTACCTTTTGCGAAAGTGTGTGAAATAAGTGTCCCTAATTCAACAAAGAGCATAAATTTTTCTGTAGATGAATTTGTAAATTACTAATATATATATATAATCTCAATCTCAATCTCATACTGAAGTTTCAACCGAATCTTATATAAACTTGTAAATATTTATGAACATAAGTGTTCCTAATTCAACTGATTCATTCATGTGTACATGACCTTTTCAATAGATGAACTTATAAATTATAAAAATATATATTATATCTTTTCAATCTCGATCTCATACTCAAATTTTGTAAGTTTCCACTAAAGCTCATGTGAACTTGTAAATGTTTGTTGTTTTCTTTTTTGTTTTTTTTTTTTTTTTTGTTTTGAAATTTTGGTTTTCATGTTGCTAGATAGTGATACGAACACAAATATATAAGCTTTATATTACTATTTGTTTTCTGCTGCACTATTTTTAAGTGCTTTAGGGTGTATTTGGTTAGATAGAAATTGACAATGGAAAGTGAGAGTGAAAGAAACCAAAATTAGTTTTCCATGTATTCGATTAGCATGAATTTTTTTGAAGAAAATTATGAAAAGTTATCATTTTGTGGTTTTGTATGGTGTGAAACTTACCATAAAAGAGGGTTACAATTGAAATTTCATATATTTTTCTCAAAAAAATAAAATTTTTGTGTGTTTTTTTATAAGAAAATTTTACTAAAAAGTTTTGTGATTATAAAAAATTACTCTCACAAAATTTTCCTTTTCCTATAATCCAAACCCTTAAAACCAAACAAAGCCTTAGACAGTAATTAGTTAGCCAAATTAGAGTTCATCTGATAAAACCAATTTTTTTTTTTATTTGTTTTTGAGGGAGAGTGTTTTGGGCCATTTTACAAAGTATTGTCGGGAGTTTAAGTAAAATTTTGTGCTACCACCGTAGACCCAACATCCAGGTTCAAACCCAAGTTTTATTCAAAAATTTGTCGTAATCTAGCATCGATTCATACAGAAGAAAAGATTCTCTATTGATTCAAACACTGGAACTATGGAATAGGGATAGAGGAAGAGAAAAAACCGAATACATATACTATTTTGAAAAGAAGAGATCATAACATTTGAACTAATGGTACAAATTCCTTTTTACCTGTTAGAATGGTGATCAGATTTTTTGCCCCATAAGAAGTGATTTGATTTTTCACAATGTCTTTATAAGCTTCTAAGATGTTACATGAGAGAGCTAAGCTTCTTTGATCCTATTGAGTTTCGTCTCAAATAATGTAGTCTTTTAAGTTCTGCAAGAATTGATGGTGAGAGAAAAAAAATTGATGCTTAACTAATACAAAGCAAGTGCAATGTTGTTCGAGTGATTAAGTTGTTCATATTCGAGCCTTGCACCCTCCCTCTTTTAACAACTAATCCGTAACATTTTTGCCTTTAAATAAATAAAAAAACTTGTATTAATAGGAGACATTTGACCAGATGTGAAAGAAGAACAAAGCATGTGCCTATGTAGTCGTGTTTAAGGGAGCAAGAAAGAAGGATAAAAGTTCAAAGAAACTGAATTGAAGAGGAAGGCGCATAACAGAGAATTTTGGAGAGTGAAGAATAAAAGATGCTAATATTACAATTTACACCTGTGCTTATGAAGTAATGATGTTGCATTCGTGGAATAATGATGTTGCATTCTGGAAGAAAAAAGTACTTCATATGCACAACAAATACAACACAAAAATTATTACGGGAGAGGATCTGGTTCTTGCCGGTTGATGAGGTCATATTCTCTGCAATACAAATGAATTTAACACCTTGTTTGGAAGTTGTTGAGAGAGGAAGACAGAGAAAGGACTGACTCTCTCTTGCAAGACCAAACTTCAAATTGTGATTTTATGGTTAGCAGTCGCAGCCCAACATTGCCAATGTTCAACTCATCGACCTCATAAACCAAGTCTGCAACCAGTTCAAACAATTCTTTGATGTATACCTTAGAATCAGATTCCAAGCTCATAAACATATAGAATACCCTATATATTCAGTCCAGATGCCTGGGAGCACCACCTCTCAGAAAATCATATTCACTCCAAAATAACGCAGCCATTTCTCGTTTCTCTTACCAGCCTCATCTATGATCAGCCTTACCATCAAGCATGAAAGTTGTGCTGTGATTTTTTTTCCCACAATGTGAAAAAGCCAGAGAGTCACAACTTGCTTTGATATGTCCAATCCAATGTCTCTGTGTACCACAAGGTTTTGATGAATAAGAACAGTGAGTTCAACCATAACATAGAAGTCATATTATACAAAGACTATGGAGAACACAACACTATTGAAATACTTATCTAATGATATAAAAATATAACAATTAATCTAGAGAACAAAAAAAAAAAATTGAGTAAAAAATTCACTTCCTTCAAAGTGGAGCTGCTACTGCCAGTATAACTAGTGCTCTCAGTTTTCCTTCCTTTTGGTTTTTGGTTTCGCATCATCATGGATACATGAGGACCAATAGAGCGGTAGAAGTGTGCATGCTGCCTGTATAATGAGACCATGAGGCAAACCCGAAAAATTGTTTCCCGTCACACCAACAATTGATGCAAGTGCAACGCCAAAATATCCGCTCACTATCATTGCAAGAGCAATGGCAGACATGAGAAATGCCATTAGAGACCCCTCACAGCCTGGTGGGCAGAGCTGTGCAATGAGAACACTGAATGGGAGAATCTTAAAGAAGTACAGAACCTCTAAAAAGCCTGAGAAAACCACGACATAGAGCGAGTCTGGTACCCCCATTTTTTGATACGCCCCTTTCACAAATAGAACATCCGAAACCATGAAAACAGCCATGGTGGCCTGAATAGCTGAGATCAGTTTCCTTGGCGGGATTGACTTTAGATGCCGATTATAAGCAACACCCCACAGAAGCATTGCCACCTGCCCAAACACCTTAGAAATCCCCAAGACTGATGATTCAATTTTCAAGTGCTGCGTTTGATAGAAGAACATGGTGCCTGTCAGGGCTGGAATTATGGCATAAGATGCTGCAAACCAGGTTATTGAGTTGGCAACTTCAGGTTTTTGTAATGCAACTAGAAGCTGAGAAAGCTGCTTTCTGATCCCGACATCGGATGCACTCTTTGGGAGTTTAAGAGAGCTTTCATGTATGGAAATTGTTACGAGAAATTGGATAGCAAGGAGGATGCCATAACAGAGGAACATAGCTTGGGCGGAGAATCGGTCAATGACAAGACCACCTAATAGATTTCCCAGGACTCCACCAATGGACAAAGCCATCCAAACAAATGATTGGAGCTCACCAGAGGAAGAGGATTGTGAATTCTTAGAAGAGGAAGTCGACGGCTTTCCAGTCTCTGCAACAATTGCATCGTTTGCAACCTCAACTATTGAGGCACCAAGATTCCCAAGGAGGAGATATATGGTGATTGTGAAGAATGACATGCTTGATTGAGGAAGCAATGCAATAGCAAGCCATGACACGGCTTGTAATAAAGCTGCGTTGATGTAGAAGTAGAATATATTAGCAAAATGTAAAGCTTGATGTGCCAAAAAAAGTACAACACCATTTTAAGCTAATACACTAATGAGATGTCTTCAACCTCACCGGGACCCTCTTTATCTTTAATGATTCTACTGAGCTGGAGAAGGTGTCTCTAAACACCACCAAAATAATATAATAAAAATAAGATTAAATTTTTCATGACCAAGAACAGTGAGTTGCAGATTCTCTACACTAGCATGCTTAAACTACTATCAAGGTAACTGTGGCTTGGTTTAAAAGAAGCATGCACAAAACCACTCTCCACCATTCTTCAATACATTTTCGTGTTTACTCTGTTTTAATGTAAAGAATACAGATTAAAGGTCACTATATTATCCTGGCATTCTTTATGCATTATAATTACGTTACCTCGAATTAATAAAGGGCAAACCCAACGCACGAGGCTCTCGCCAATTGTGGTGTTTGGGGAGGGTCAGATATACACCGTCCTACCTCTAGCATGCAGAGAGGCTGTTTCTTTGTTTTGAACCCGTGAAACATTGGGCCAACGGGGGGCCTCCATTTTTAATATGACTAGTATTTCAAGAAAACCTAACTAGGCCTCCATTTTTAATATGACTAGTATTTCAAGAAAACCTAACTAAAATCTTCAATAAATTTGGTCTGGTCTGTAACTCTAAAAACAGTACAAAAAATTCTCCTAGGTTCACTTTTCGGAAAACTTTTTAGTGAATTATAAAAGATTGTTAACTGAGAACACTTTTTTTTTTTTTTTTCGTTTTAAGAGGCTTTTGAGAACGGTTTTCAGAGTTACAAACCATGCAGATATCCATAAAATATATATGTAACCATAAATCCCAAAAAAAAATTCTCTGTTTAGCATGGAAGGGGGAGGAATCAAAAATCTTATTGGAGTTTTGATAATTTTTCTTCAACATGACTAAAAAAAATGAAAATAGCAGGAATTCACATGGAATATCAAAAGAACTTTGCAATAATCTTAATAGATCCAAACAACAAATCAATTAGCCTAAACCAAAACAAAGATCAAGTTTAAACGAATATGAATTACTTAATGAATGAGAATTGGGAACTGATAATAGAGAAAGAAATAGGGTTTGATACCTCCAATGGCAAGGTAAGGAATGCGGTGCTGTCCAGCAATGTAAAAGGAATCGGAGATGAGACCGTAGATGGGTTTGGCAACCATTGGCAGATTGGCGGAGTTCTGAAGCAGTTGGAGCGTGGCCGGATCCACTTTCAGACCATCTTTCAGAAAGAAAATCACAGCCATCCATGGGAAGCACCTTAACCCTTGTACCCAAAATCCTAATCCCAGCACCACCTTCCGCATCCCACCACTGCCACTCCAATCACTCCTCGGCCGCCCAGACGATACCATTTCTGTTTCTTCACCGCCACCGCACCACCACCACTAGTACTGGGTGAAGCGGATTTTCTCTCTTTCTCTTGTAGTTGTAGGTTGTAGGTAGGTAACAATCAACCTAGATCCACGTTTACATGTACATATTCACATATATATATATATATAACAATCAACCTAGATCCACGTTTACATATAGATATATATATATATATATATATATATATATATAACAAACCGTAAGAATTGGGAAATTCCTATTACTGATTAAATCCAAATTGGGTTATAGATCGGTGGAAATTCCTATTACTGATTATATATATATTAGGAAATAATTGAAGGAAAGGGAAAGGACACGTGGTCCATCCATAGAAGTCAATCATGTGATTTGTAATTATTCATTAAACTTTTTTTTTCTTCCTTTATAAGTTACTTTATATTACTCGTAGTATTAATTAATTAATTAATTAATTAATTATAAAGCAGCATCCCTGTTAGCTTTGCTTAACGTAATAATGTAAAGGATTTTTTTTTTTTTTTCAATATATATTCTTTTCTTTAAGTATATTTTGATATATATTTACTTCTACTTCCAAAAACCTTTAGGTTTTTTTTTTTTTAAATCTTTACAATTTAGTGATATTTTCTCCGACATGAGATGTGGACGTTCGAGTTGACAAAAAAAACAAAATGAATGTGGGATTTTTTTTATCCATAAAAAAAAAATATCTATTAACAGTAACCTCGCAGATACTTATTGCAAAACAAATGGCTTACATTGAGCCACCATCAAAGCTTAAAAATGATTAAACAGGACACGTGTTGAAAACTGTCATCACTTGAAAAACACTTTAGAATCCGACCGACAGAGGAGGCGTGCCCATTCAACATTGCTCCTTCTCCACTTAAAAAATGAATTAAGGTCGGATGATTAATAAAATGTTGTAGATAATTAATAAAAAATTAGTTTTCACTTAAAACTTTCACTATATTTGATCTCAAATAAATACGTAATTCGATTTGGTTTTATGAATTACATCCTTAAAACATAATTTAATAATAATAGTCTGGCCTAAGTCAAGTCTTAGTGTTATTCAGCCCAAATAAATAATTAACATCCTAAAAATAAGTATATATTATTTTTTCAAAAATCTAAATAAGATAGGAAGAGGGTTCAAATAAAATCATAAATACACAATAACAACAATATGCTTATAACTTACTTCATAGCTTCTACCCAGACCAAACTTTGGTCAAGAACCAAAGCAGATGATTGGCAATTAATCTTACTCATTTTGTCCATTAAGTAGTAGATGAGATACTCCCACTTCACTTTTATATGATCATACTTTAATTTTAAAACAAATGACACTTTCAAATATAATTTAAAAATTAATAAATATTTTTCTCAATATACCATAATTACCTTTTTCAGTTATGATAAAAAATTTTCTCTCCCCCATCTTTCTAATTAATGTTTTTGGTATCTTCGGGTTTTTCTTCTTTTTTTTTGTCCTTTATGCTTTATGGTTTGAGTTTCCGTTTTGATATTTTTTTGCTTTGAGTTTACGTTTAGATTTTTTTTTTTTTTTTTTTAATGTGATTTTTAAAAATTAATTTAAGTGGTGATTGCAATGGAAAAAAAATATTTAAAAATTTTCTTTTCTATTTTATACTTTAGTTTGATTTTTTTTTTTCTTTTTAAGAATTACTACTAATTTGGAATTTATTTAAATATTTAAGTTTAATTTTTGCTTACTAATTAATAAAGTAAGAAAAAAAAAAATTATAGTGAAAATAGTAGATTTGGTATTATAAAATGAAGAAAGATGCATTAATAAGTTTAAGAACCTTATTGTCATTTCCTTCCAAAAAAAAATAAGTAAATAAATAAATGTACAATCATACCACCACGGTAAAGAAATAAACCATACACCTACAGGATTATTTTTTTTATTTTTTTTATTATTATTTTTTTTTTGAGTTATTTTTCACCAATTTCAATTCTAAAGTTTAAATTCCACGCAACCGAATATAGCCTAAGTTCATACGGAACAAAATTTTTGGCATCCTAACTTATTCCGCAGAGGATCTTAAACTAGTTTTACAACAAAGATGGCAAGCTGCTGTATTTAGCCAATGACTTGCACCAGGCCTCAAGTAATTTTTTTTTCCCCTGCATCAAAGCGCACCTGGATCCTTCAAGAAATAAAATGCATCAGTAAAGTTGTCAATAAAAAAATTTCCAATCAAGAAACTAATACAAAATTCGATCCATTAAAAGCTACAATAACCGGAATAAGATCGATTCCATGCAAAGTGACCAAAAAATGGAAGCTCTAATTATAAATTATACTTATGCAAGCACAATGAATGAGCAGGGTTTGAATAAGGGGATTCAAGAACATGAGCCCACAAGACAGGTGGAACTACAGAATACAACATTTCTTGCCCAGTCTCAAAATCTCAATACATAACCCATGCAGTAGAATACATAACCCTCGCGGTACTTCCAGAATTAGACAATTCTTCCATAGTCTTTTCTTCCACGGGATGCTGGCAGAATTTTGGCGACGGGATGGTTGCCCCTATTCCCTACAACAGAATGCAATGACGGGTTAAAAATATCACTTTTTACTGTCTCTTTGGTCTCATCCCCAGAGTGATTTTATTTAAGTCGAAGACAAAACTACCTCCAATATGGATATATTATTGTATAATCAAATGAAAGGAGAAAAGAATGGAAGAAAATAATTTACAAAAAGAAAGTAATTGAGGGGCTTTGCAAGGTGGACTTAGTACCCCATGGTATGCCAGTGCTGAATGAGCTACTTCCAGGAGATCGAGGACCCCCAGAAGTAAAGCTGGAAGGAGAGGGTTGGACCTTATTATGACTCCATTCATTGCCACGAACAGCTGCTGATCTTCCGTGATTGGACCGCTGAATAGGATGCTGCCCCAAACGACTAGGAGAATTTTGTGAGAAATGAGGCATGATATGCGAAGACTTTGTCATAGGACGGGCATACCCACCATGCAGATCGTAGCCTGCAGGGCTTCCCATCTCCCCACGCGAAAATGCTTGAATTGGCTCACTAGCTCTGTATCATCACATGTATAAATGAAGATAAAGAAACTGAGCCTACTTCATAATGAACACAAGAAAAAGAGAAAAAAGAACACTTGATCAAGAATACCCTCTTGCACCTCCTCCTCCCCCTCCAGGGCCTGTTAAAGCATTAGGGGAATGAGGCACTCACCTAAGGCCCCGTTTGGAAAATGGCCCACAAATTTTTTCTTTTAATGTGGCTTTTATTTTTATTTTTTTAAAAATTAAAAAGGCAATATATATATATATATATATATAGCCTCTTCTACATATATATATAGCCTCTTCTTTTCCAATTTTTTTTTTTTTTTTTGGGAAGTTATATAGCCTCTTCTACATCTACTACGTCTCTCACATATTTTCCTACCCTTGTAGAATTCGTTACTAGAGTTACTGTGGGTATATGTGTGTGTGTGCGGGGTGAGAGAGTGTGGATCAGTCAGAGAGGGACAGGTAAATTACACTAGGGTGAGGGAGTACATATAGTATGTGTGTAGTAAGATGAGTGACTAACAAACCACATAGGAGTAATGAGGGATTATTTGTAGGAAAAAGGATTGTTTGTGGTGGTGTTGGTAGAGGGTGCTGATGATGGAATGGCAATATTGGAGGCCTCATTTAGAATTTTCGCCTTAGGCCTCGAGTTATATCGAGCTGGCCCTCCCCTCCTCCAAATCCCACACCCAAAAGAATACCCAAAGCCCCAAGCCAACCCACAAAAAAGACCTCGAAAAAGTGCATCAATTACTACATTATCAAGCTTTAAAAAAAAAAATAATTACGTTAAATGCAGGGGGGCATTAATAGGTGCAATGGTAATAGCTAGACCTGCCAAGCTTGAGAATCTGGATTCAAGTCTAAGGGCAGTCACCTAGTACAAATCATCTCATAGGTTGTCCATCATTCAAGCACCCTCATTGATGGGGACCGCATCAGATAATGGTAAAAAAAAAAAAAATTAAAATCATAAGGTTCCAGAAATTTTCATACTGAGAGAAATTAAATTTATTCTAAACATTTTGAATGTGCAAGTTCATCATTATAATATTTAGTGCACAACCACCATGAAAAATGTACCAAAATAAACATTTTGATACATTGTGCAAGTTCATCAACCAAGTTCAAAACATTATAATATTTAGTGCACAACCACCATGAAAAATGTACCAAATGAATGCACAAGATAATAAACAACCTACCTTTGCACCGATATATTTGAACTTGTGCTTGAAAAATGATTATATCTTTTGAAACCAACCAATGGATCCGTAGGAACCAAAGCTTGACCGAGATGCATCCCTTTGCTGAACTCAGTGGTCATGCAGCTCACATCCGAACCATCTTCTTGCAAAAGAAGTTCTTCACTGGAGATGAAGTTAAATAAAACATCAATTTTTAAAAAAAAAGTGATCCTTGAATGGCTTAAATTTGAAAAATACCTACTCCTTGAAACAATGGAAGCTTTATGCAAGGCATGCCCCAAAATTCTAAATATTTGTTGAAGAAATTGAATATGTAGTATTGGAACTTAAACATACCAGTCAGGCATACTTTTGCAAATATCAAGAAATAAAACTGAACCTATGACGGCCATAATGATGCTTATGAATCAAAACCACAATTTTTCAAGGCAATAATTTATATTGCAATAATCCTAATTCAAAAAGTTATTATTCAGTGAAGTGATTATTAATTTATTAATAGAAATTAGTTTACGAATACGTGATACAGTAGAGTTTGAATGACTACAGAGTCAAAAAGGGAATACTTTCAGGCGCAAAAATATAAAGTCAGCCACAAAATTACGAAATTTTACAGACAAATACTAGACATATAGGGGAACCTGTGATAAAATTTTGAAAACTTTGGGGGCACTACAGCTCCTTGGAGAAATTGTTGTTTTCCAGCAAAATGAAAAGTCCCTATTCTCCAGATTTTTTTTTTTTTTTTTCAAACGTGCAACCTATTCTCATATTTTCTTACAAGCATCATTTCTAACGTCCTCAATGAGGCTAGGATGAGAAGAACCAGCAGTAATGCACCCTGCAACACTTGGGTAGCCTTTTTGGCATGCATTTCCACCAATGCAAAAGAAAAACTAATCCAATAGACAAACAATTGCTCCAAAAACGTAAGGCTACCCAACAATGCTATCATGCTCATAGTTAGTAAAATACAGTACGAGGAAGAAAAAAAAAACAGATTCGGAAACGTAGAAGTATAATTCGATTTTTTTTTAAAAAAAATACGTTATAAAAATTCGGCTGAAAAAAACGGAAACATAAAAATTCGAATACAGATACATACGTGTATAATATGTTGTATGGATTTAAAATTCGGCTATATATACATACATTATTTATTTTTTTATGTATCATATCCTTTTAAAGACATTAAAAAAAATGCAACAAATAATAAAATAAATAAGAAAATATTAGAAATACTAAAATAAAATTTCATATTATACAAATTGACACTATCAAACTAGGAGGAAAAAAAAATTGACACTATCACAATAATCATGAAAGAAATAAACTAATTAAATATAATTAATGAATAACTATGACATCATAAATTCATCACAAATTAATAAAAAAAATTCTAAGTAATTCAAATAATCAACTAAGTTTATCTAAAAGTAAATACAAAATTTCTCTCTTTTTCCCATCTTTTCTTGATAACCTATATATATATATAAAATAAATGCATAAGCATAATTTATTAAAATTAAAATTTTAAATTAAACTAGATTAGAATATCACATAATAGATTTATGCACATGCTTAAATCCTAAAAGTGTTCTCGACTCATTTTATCACTAAAAAATCTACAAACTTCCAAAAACAAAATAATTATTTATAAATATCTACCATTACAAACAAAATTTAAAAGATCTTAAAAAATAAATAAATAAATATCAACAAAGATCTATAAGAACCTACACTATATGTTTCACTGAGATTATATATATTCCATTACTTAATTGAAGATCATACCTTGGACTGCTAAATATATTCAATTTTATAATTAAAAAAAATATGTATTTGAGAAAAATATAAAATTAGAATTGGCACTGGGAGTGTTAAATACATTGAATTTAGTAAATATATATATTAGAAAAAAATATAGAATTAGAATTGCACCGGGAAAGTAAAACAGTTGGTATATGAGAAATAAAAAAGAGTATTAAACGGCAACTGACACATATCAAAACGTTTAAAATCGTTTCATTCGGGGTGGTGGTAAAATTCGCGTATTTTACCATATGTTTGAAGTCTAAACGGGAAACGGAAGTATTTTTTAAAAAGTCATACGGACACAAATAATTTGCATATCATACGCGAATTAACTATCTACGATCATGCTATCACAATTAATATCAAGAATATGGTGAAATATTAGACAAACAATTGCTAAAACAGCTTCTTCTTTTTCTTTTCTTTTTTTTAGTATTATAAAAAGGCCCAATGATGTATATTAATTCGTCACAGTTAGATATCAGGAATATCAATGAAATATTAGTAACTGCCATGCCAATATTTTTTTCACAATTTAAATTGAAGGAAATGATATTCACACTCACAATTATGCACTTGCTTTTTTTTTTGGAGAAGTATGTGACATGATTGTCCTTTCAAACACATACTCCACAATTTTTCAAAAAAGCACTTTGACACTCCAATTTAAGTGGACAAAAGTGGAGTGCCACTATCATATCTTAATCTTATTGTTGAAATATCTATCAATGCATATCAGATAGAGGAATCATTCCTATGTAAAAGATATTTTAGATTATACTGATACATCTAAACTAAATGTTCATTGCAATTCTTCTTGAAAGAATATGAAATGTTCATGTACAGCAAGAAAGAGTAAAATGCTTACCTATAGTTGGGATCCCAATCTCCAGGATCAGGCGATGAGAGACTAGCCTCAGCCTTGTCATGAGCAGTCCCCATGGATTGTGGGAAATGCATACCGGAACCAACTGACAATGAACCCGGGATGTTATGAGTGGCAGTGATCCCACCGCCTCCATGTTGCTGTTTCCAGCTTGCTGCATGTGAATTTGCCTGCAGATGCAATGGAGAACCACCAAGTAGTGGAGAGTTTCCTTCAACTTGGCTGCAGTTGGTACCATCAGGAAGTTGGCCTTGCCAAAGAGGAGATGAAACCTCTTGAGATTGCAAACTTCCAGAATATCCCCAACTTTTCCTTCTGTTAAACTGGCTGGCTGCAGCGGATTTTCCTAAAGGAGATCCATGACAACTGCCTCTTGCCGGGGAGGTTGCACCATAATGTCCAGGAGAAGCAGCTGAAAGTTGACCATAGGAGCTTGGAGGAGTAAATTGTGAGGGACTGGTGCCAAGCGACATTGGAGCAAAATTTCCAGCTGATGGACTGACACCAAGGCTATTTCCATGTGGCAGTTGCATAATCCTCCGCCTTGCATCAGGACTAGTTCCAAGTATTGACAAACCGCTCTGCACATGAATGTTCATCCCAGATGGACCAACAGGCGAGTAATATGCGAGCATATTACTATTGTCTCCATAGCTCCCATAACTACTTCCAAGACCAGTACTTTCATTATAACTACCATGGCTTCCTAAACTTCCATAACTACCGGCATGTGCATATGGCACCACTTGAAAATGGGGGCTGTTAGGTACTGCAATTCTATTCCTGCCAGGGATCTGTGTAATACAACTAAATGAGATGAAAATCCGGTACAAGGTCTAGAAAAACTTTTAATAAAATAGAATGACATATTTGAAAGAGTGTAGCTCACATTAGGAGAAAGGCCAGCAGCAAACCAATGTCCTCCAGCTGGGTGATGATCCACCTTGATATTTTGAGAAACAGGCTACAAACAGCACACACCCCAAAAATAATAATAAATAAATAAAAATAAAGAAAATAAAGTAATCAAGTGGGAAAAAGGTAAGAAAATATGTTAAATAAAACCAAGATACCATTTTAAAAAGTTAAGAATTACATTGTACGTGTAAAGGGTAGGGGAAAACGGGGGAGCAGCACATGATTCCAGGAAAAGCAGGATGAGAGTAATGCTAATTAGGATACTATTATTATCATTGGCTTAGATATATCATGTATATACCAATTTGTTTTCCAATACACAATGAAGTAATAGATACTCTATTAAAAGATAAGGAAGAATAAATGAACAAGTAAGGTACACATATAATAACAAAAAATGAAATGTTAAGCAAATATATGTGATAATATAGAGATAACACTCATTCTCAAAAGCCAAGACTGTTGCCATGAAATTCTTTCCCTGAAATGTAGCATGTAATACAAATAATAGTTGGAAGAATTTTCATTGTTGCGTTGTCATCTTCAGTTGAAATTTCACAATAATTAAGTTTATAAACATATCTACTTACCATGCGAGGTGTTTCTGGAGGAGGTTTAAAAGGGCATGTAAAAGGTTCCCCAGTCACAAAAGGGTGTTTTGAAGCCTGCAGCACAAGAGTTCAATTTAAACTATCAGTTCCCCACCCCATCCCCTCCAAGAAAAGGTAATAATAACTATCACTAATTTGAAATTTGTATTATACAATAGCAGTATTCAAGCCTTCAAGGTTCCTGAAGAAAAAAAGGCTGTTCGTATAGTTGATGGAAATTTTTGGAATTCCTACCCATATCAGGTTCTTGATTACTGGAAATTCCTTCTCTTTTGTTTCAAAAATAACATAAACCTCCTCTCCGCTTTGGGTTTATATAAACCTTGTCTCCATTTGTTAACCGTCAGATATGACGACAGAAAGCATTACTCACTAGAAATCTTGAATCAATATGATAAGTTGCTTTCATTACTTTTTGACAAGAAATGACACTTAAAGTGTGTTTGTTAGCAATAAACCAAGCACAGTACTCTATCTTCCACCCTGCCCTTTCGTTGGAATTTCTAAGTTACTAAAATAAAATGGTGGTGTTTTGTAACTAAAAAGAATTTATATAAAATATTCTTACTAGTTTTGGAGTGTAAGAGTCTATTAACCCACTCCATCTTGAGTCAACAATAGTTTTTAGGCGTTTTAAGGGAGAACAAAAGAATCTTCCGAGGATATTGAGCATGCAAGTTTAAAGCCCAAGTTTCATTTGATAAGGAATCTTTTCGAGCCCATCCTCGGATCTTGAGAGGGGTGATTCCTCAATCTTACTGGAAGTCTTTTCTTTTGATTGGATATCTAGTCTTTGTTTATACTTCACATATAGATGAGCTTTCAAACCCCTTTTCTAAAAGAAGTTAATGCTCACCAGAAGTAATATATATATAGATAGATAGATAGATAGATAGATATGTGTGTGTGTTAATGACTGTGACAAGTTCAATAACCTGCAAAGGCGACCACCGCTTTGATGGATCAAACTCAACAAGTCCCCTTAAGAAATCAATCAGTGCTAATCGTATTTGACTCTCTGCAACATGTTCATGGTAGGACAGTTATTAGTAACATCTTTGAAAAATAAAAGGTAAAATATTCAGCCAAAAAAAAGGGCATTATACAGCCTACCATTTCTGAGATTATGAAAGCTAACCTTTAATTACGTCTTCTTCGGGCAAGTTTTTTCTGTAAGGGTATTTTGTAACAATTGCTTCAAGGTTCATATGATTAAAATACTCTTTTCCAATTGATGGCTTTTTCAACTCCCTCTGAATGGAAGAGAAAAAACAAACAATAAAATGTGGAAAATTAGGCCACGCCCAGATAATGTTACATAGAACTAACAATTAAACTGTAGAGCGCTAAGGTAAATTGCTTGGCGTATTGTAAAATCTCAAGGTATCAGATATAAAATGTGGGTATGGTAGCCACCTTGCACAAAAGTTGGTCAATACCCAATCCACTCTTACCAGGACTCTCAATATATGGGAACAATGAAGGTAACTGGCCATTCTTTACTAGTGCAAAATCATAAAAGTGAAAAAAGGAGACGCGGATTGTCGGCCATGTTACAAAACTTGTTTATTTTGTAATGTTGCCCTCCATATATTGATTTTCCTCTTACAGAAGAAAACGTAATATGAACACTTACAGCTTCATATTCTTCTTCTGTTAATGCTTCGTAAGCACTTCTTCTGCCCATAAAAACTTGACCACTCTCTTCAGAATTGATGTTCCCGACACACTTGAAAAACTTGCTTGTGTTTTTAGCCTCCTTTAGTACATAATCAGGAGGTTGTTCCCTACAAAATTTTGACAATAAATATTAAACAATTAAAAGTAATTGCATCAAGACACAGTTAAATAGTATGAAATCAAAAACAATTTTTTCTGCTTTGAAAAATATGTAGTAAACTACTATGATGGTTCTGAAGAAATGATCATGAGATGAGGAAAGGATAAATTAATATGGTAGCAACAAAAAACAATACTATATATATATATATATAGACACACACACACATCTGCACAACTGCAGGAAAAAAAAGAAAAGAATAGAATAGAGTATAATAGATGGAAAAGGAGGCTGCAAAATCATTACCTTTCATGTCCTCTTACAATTTTTGTTTAATTATTTACCTCAAAGTGGAAAAATATAGAAAGCACTATGAGGAATCTCTAAATTCCAAAAAATTGGGTTACCAGCACTAGCTCATGTTTTCCATGAGCTCAAGGTGGAAAAATATAGCAAGCTTTTTAATGTTCTTTTAATGATCTTCCTCATAGAGGAAAAATATATAGAGCAATATAAGCCTTTACCAATTTCCAAATAAAAAATATTGGTTCCCACCACAAAATGTCTTAGTTTCCATGGGCTTGGGTCTTACACCCTGAAACATGGTTTCAAGCTTCCATGAATTATTTTCATTATTGAAACTAAGTTGAAGCTACAATACTTCTTAAAACTAAAGTTTACTTCCTTGAAATATTTATGCTTCAACCATGGCTTTAAAAAATCTTACACTTTGCAAACTAGGAGCAGCAAACAGAGACAAAGCAGAAGTTCTCTTACACAGTAAGATAGACAAGGATCACTAAAATCACCACAGGAGATGAGGTTTCTAAAGGAAATCTGGTAAAAGCTTGAAAAGGAGTTTATAAACTGATAATATCTCAAAATTATGTTGGTCAAGACTTGATATAGCAAGAAAAGGGGCTGCAATGCCTCCAATAATATTCATTGTTTAAATATTCCCTAATTCTATGAAAAGTTAGTCCATGCTTAATGTCAAATATTACCTTTATAAAATATATATCAAATATTAAGCCTCTTTAATCTTTCTCTTCAAAGACCCGGGGTAGTCCATTACCAACTTTGGGTAAAGGCCTTACTAGGAAGAGTCACTTGTAATAACTTATTAATTATTAAAAATTGCTCTAAGACCTTAATTATAGCTTCATAAACTACTTCCAGTTTATAGATAAAAGTTAAATCATTATATGAATATTCCTTAATTCTTAACAGGTAAACAACCCGTAATAAAGTATTTATATCTCCAAAATATTAACTAGGAAAAAAAAATCTCCAAAATATTGTCCAACGCATAATTACAGGAATTGAGCAGCATGCAAGACTATATATATTTTGAGAGGCTAATTCTAGTTAATGTAATGGCTTATGATTTGTTGTTTAAAAAAAAGATTACTCATATGATACTCAAAATTGAAACGTCAATTACAAGCTCATTTTCTTGTTCTCACTGCAGGATCAATTCACTTGTATGTTGTTCCCATAACATATCATTTCACTTCTTCAAAAAACTTGAAACAAAAATGTGTTACACCTTGAATACCAACACAAATTATAAACGCATACCCAAGTATTTTTATCATCCGCTTCAAAAGATCAAATTCAGATGCTCCAGGGAACAGTGGCAGCCCCAAGAACAATTCAGCAACTATGCATCCAAAAGACCACATGTCAATAGCAGTAGTATACCTGGAAGAACAGTCAAGGTCCATACTTGATTTGAGTACAAAACTTGGATCCATAATTAACTCTCAAGTGCATCAATACACAATGGACAATGTGTGCCCATCTAAGTCCATGCATTCTGGCTCCTCAATGATTGCAACTCACCTTTTGCTTGTGCCAAGGGGCAAGAAACTGTTTGAAAATTTAAAATATTTGGAATTTGGAGCCTCAGCCAATTTTAAAATCTAAAATATATAAAATATCTACATTTTTGGAAAAAGGATATGATTTTTTTGGGTGAAAATATAAACTAAAATAAAACCGCAGTACTTTCAAAATATAAAAGTATTTTTTTAACAAAAGATAACAATTTAAATAAAAGTAATAAAATAAAAAGAATACTTCAAAAATATTAACTTCTCAGAATTTATATTCAACTATCTGGAACAAGTTTCTGATGTTCATTTCACCCCAAGCATCCATTATAGTTACTGAAAGTTATTAAATTTTAACATTATTATCCTCACCTCTTTTTGGATGGGGTGGGGAGGACGGGGAGGCAGTTCAAGGTAGCAACCAACCACAATCAAATGTTTTCGAACTCTCTCTATTCTAGAATAAGTTTAAAAAGGTTCACCTGAAGAATTCATTTTCTCAGTTGACTAAGTACAAAATTAAGGTATCTTACAAGAATATTGCTCATATTGTAGCATGACCATAGAAAGAAAGTGTGCACCATAGTTCACCATAAAATCCTTTTCAGTTTGTCTTATATTTGTGTTACCTTCTGATTCAAACTTTTTGATACATGTATCATAATTTAACTCTAAAAAAATGTTTTTTTCTATTTTTGATAAATAAAATTTCATCAAAGAGCACTCAAAGGAGAGCACGAACAAAGAACAGCTACACAGAAAATCAACTCTGAAACCCTTATGTTGTGTTTGGTGTGCAGGAATGGAATAGAATGGAATGGAATGCCCATTCCAACCATTCCTTTGTTTGGTATGCAATTTAAAGTGGGAATGGCCATTCCATTGGAATGAAAATCCATTCCATAACTAAACCTATGGAATGGCCATTCCATTCCCAAGTAAATTTTTAAAAAAAATCTACTTCCCAAAAAACCCTCTTGTTCCAAGTCCAAAAACAATAATTACCTTCCACCACAATCACCTCCGCCTTTCACCACCATTAACACCACCACCACCACCACCACTACTACCGACTTTCACCATTGGCTACCGCTTTCCACCACCCCCATTGCCTTTCACCACCGACACCACCACCACCACCACCACCACCTCCATCGCCTTTCACCACCACCGTCACCTTCCATCGCCGCCATTGCCTTTCACCACCGCCGCCGCCTTTCACCATAGCCACCGCCTTCCACTGTCACAGCCTTTCATCACCACTACCACCGCCTTTCACCACCACCACCGCCACCGCCTTCCACCGCAATTGCCACCGTCTTACACCCCCACCACCACCGCCACCTTCCACCACCACCGCCGCCGCCGCCACCTTCCACCACCATTACCGCCGCCGCCGCCATCGCCTTCCGCCACCTTCCATCACCGCCACCGCCACCAGCTTCCACCACCGCCACCGCCTTCCACCACCACCACCGCGACCTCCATTGCCTTCCACCACCACAACAGTCACCTCCATTGGCTGCCACCACCGCCACCTTCACCACTATCTCCCTCCAACACCACTACCACACTACTGCCACCGCCTTCCACCAACACCACTGCCGACTTCCACCACCGCCGCCGCCGTCTTCCACCATTGCCACCATAGCCGCTTCCCAACACCACCACCATCACCACTATCCACCACCGCCACTGCCACTATTTATTTTTAAATTTTTTTAGAGAATGTCATTTTGTTAATTTAATTTATTTGTTGCTAAGAGGGATATTTTGAATAATTCAATTTAAAATTTATTCCATTTACCACCTTCCACCACCGCCTTCCACCGCCGCCTTCCATCACCACCACTGCTACCAGCTTCCACCACCGCCACCGCCACCGCCTTCCACCACCACAGTCATCTCCATTGGCTTCCACCACCGCGACCTCGGCTGCCTTCCACCACCACCACCACCATCACAGTCACCTCCATTGGCTTCCACCATCGCCACCTACACCACTATCTCCTTCCGCCACCACCACCACACTATTGCCACCGCCTTCCACCAAAACCACTGCCGCCTTCCACCATTGCCTACACTACTACCACTTTCCACCTCCACCACCATCATCACCACACCCGCCACTGCCACCATTTATTTTTAAATTTTTTTAAAGAATGTCATTTTGTTAATTTAATTTATTTGTTCCTAAGAGGGATATTTTAGAGAATTCAATTTGAAATTTATTCCATTCTAATTTTTAAATTAGTCCAACCAAACACTAGAATAATTATTATGATTTCATTCCTACACATTTCATATTTACAACCAAACAATAAAATGAGAATGGTCATTCCATTCCATTCCCACTTGCATTCCATTCCATTCATGCACACCAAACGCAGTATTACATTCTCAGGCTATCCACAAAATCTACAAAGTCCTCTACAGATTTACACGACCACCCTTTAACCCAAGAAAATAGAGAACTCAGAATGGAATGTTTTTAACACCCAAATAGGAGCTTCCTCCCCATCGAAGGACCTCCTATTCCTCTTACACCACAAACCCCATCATATACATAGAGGAGTTGCTCACCAAGCATCTCAGACTTAAATTCCCACTGTACAACCCCTCCAAGCCTTGAGCATGCCCATCGGAAAACCGGCACAACCCAATGCACACCAAAGATAGCAAAAAAACATAGCCCATACATCCCTTGCCACCAAGCAATGCACAAGGAGATGGTTCACCAGTTCCTAGTCCCTTTTACACATACAACACCAATTCACTACAATCTAAAGCCTGTTCCTCAATTTATTGATCGTCAAAATCCTACCTGACTACTGACCGCCAAAAAAAGACACTTGAGGAGGCATTTAGTTCAAATGGTATCTTCTCATCAATTTTCAAAAAAAGAAAAATGGTATCATCTCATCATTCCCATTTAAGGCCCCATTGTGCATAGTGTAGGTTTACTAGGTTCATGGTTTAATTACCCAAAAACCAAAAAATAAAAATAAATAAATGTTACTACAATGAGACCTGTCAATTTTGAATATAGTGTAGGTTTACTATGCTGAATGTGTGTGTAAGGAAGAAAATCACTGTACAACATACCCAAATTTCTCAGTATAGTATAAAAAGAAATAAAGTATCAATATGACAGTGATATGCCAAGTATAAAGGTACCCACGGGCTAGAGTTTATCAAACAGAACCCAAGTTTATGCTTGATTAATTATTTCTAAAAATAAAATATGGCCACTCTTAAACACAAACTATTGTTAAGAATTACTCTACATCATAAATCAAGTCCAAGGTTCGGTCTGTAAAAACTGAAAATTAAGTACTAAAAATTTTCCAAGCTGAATTTTAAGTGTTGAACTTTTAAGTGGTAACTGTAAATTGAACATCTATATATCCATAATAGTACAAGTATATGTTGGATTGGGTTCTCAATGCCAGATACTTCAAACTAAATCGAACCTAAGACGTTTTTCCCTTCCTTAAGACAGCCCAACCTAGGTTCTGATTTTCCAACCAAGACCAAACATTACTTTAAATATACAACCCAAGCTTTCCCATTATTGGTGAGGTTGAACTTGGGTCAAGTCTACTTCAGTTGGAGCCAAGTTGCATCCATCCATTAAAGACAACACGAAAGAAAGAGCAATAGATGTTAGACACAAGGATACTGATACCCAAGAAGAACTTCAGGTGATCTATAGTAACGACTCTGCAAAATAAAAAGAAAAGAAAAACCAGAAGAGATTCAGATATGAGATCCTTATCAACTTCATAAAATTAAAAATGAGTCTGAGTAAGGCAGAGATTAGGCCTGAATATAGGAGTAAACAGTCCTATCCTCCATGCATGCTGATCCAAAGTCAATAATTTTGATTGCTGGTGGCTTTGCACTGCCAATTTAATGACAAGCTACAATGAGTTAATAAGGGAGCACAAAATTCACCGTCCAAGCTAATTTAGGAAGGTAGCTCACCTTGTGCATAGAAGAATGTTTTCTGGTTTTAGATCACAATGAATTATACCAGCATCTTTCATTAGAGCCAATCCTCGTAAAATCTAATTTAACAAACAGAAAAATGGAAGTATAAACATTGTTGGAGGAACAATCATAACCATAAAAGAAAAATGCATTACAAGACCAATTGCAGTACAAAGCAAGTAAATGCTTTACAATACCTGTTTTGAGAACAACTGGACAATGCTCAATGATAATCCCCTGAAATGATTTATCTTGATAAGCTCGTACCTGAATGACTAGAAAATGTCAACACCATGCAGCACAATAAATCAAAATTACATCTCTATGATGTCAAATAAAAGTCAACTGAGAAATCTATTACGTAACATAGCTATAAAAACTCAAATAATATCGTCCTGCAACTTACAGATTAGTGTCAAGCAATTCAAAGGAAATGCACAAATGGCGTTGGTACACGAAGTAATCTTTGATGCGAACAATGTGATGTCTATTCTCAGGATCAAACTTCTTATTTAACTGCCAAAAGCAAATAACGGAACAAATAGAATGCGGGTTATATAACTAAAATCACTCTGCATGCAAAAGCTCAGCTCAAAGAGAATTAATTACCATGGTCAAAATTGAAACTTCTACCAGCGCCTGTTGATAGTATGCAGGTTGATTTTTAATAATCTTCACAGCAACGAAGCTGTTTGTTTCTGTATCCCAGCATTTAGCTACCTGCCCAAATGTCCCATGGCCAAGTATATCTTTGACAATGTATCTGCAAATGCTCCAAAGCAAAATTTACTTCATAAAGGATAGGCTAAATAAAATTAGTAACACAAATAACTGGCACTTTAATTTGATACTACAAAATATATTTGTACTTGCAACATCAAGAAAACAAGCATACTACTGTCTGAATTCCAATCCAAGTCTACCTTCATTCTTCATCTTCATAATTATGTGCACTGGACTTTCCAACATTTATAAAAACTTTTTTACTCTCATAATTAATTATGAATTTTGAAATTAAGCTTTTTGCAACTTGAGATAGCCTTTTTGAGAATATTTTTTAGAAAATTGTTTTGGTTGTTCTATATATTTTTGTGAGCATATTCTATGTGCAGATACTTTCCCTCTCTCTATCTACTGACAAATCTGGGGTTTTAGACACCATACCTCTTAGGTACTTTCCCAGTTTTCTTCTCTCTCTAGCAGACTTTCTCAACCATTTGCTTAATTTTTTTCTTGTTTTCCCGATAAATTTTGTAGGTTGGAGTAGGCCGAGTTGGTAATGTAAGATTTCCAATTACTGTCATCTATTTGACTTTCCACTGATTCATGCAGTGCACCATTATGCAGTGAATATTGACGCATTATGTGCAAAAAGTTAATTTTTTTACCCCCAAGGTTGCAAAAAGCTTTTATATGGACAAACTTGAGAAGATGAAAACCCTGCATAAATATCATAATTAACCAAATGATATTTATAAATCAGAAAACATTATTATATTTCATTATATTAATCCCCAATTTGGCAACAATCTTCATAAATTATGTGTTCATTACCCGTTACAATGCAAACAAAAGAACTAAGCCACCACTATGTCATTGTAATCTATTCTTTCTCAAGTAAAACAAGTGTTGTTCTTCATTGCCAACAAAGGTTGTGTCTAATGCTCCGTTTGGTTGGAGGGATGGAAAATGGATGGAAGGGAGAGGGGGAGGGATGGAAAATGGATGGAAGGCATCCCTAGTGAAGGGAAGGTGTCTCCCTCATTTTTTGTTTGGTTGGATGGAATAGATAGTAGAAATGAAGGATGGATGACACTTTTTTTTTTTGTTTGGTTGGAAGGGAGGGAAAGAGGATTTTATATTATTTTTACCAATATACCCTCATTATATAAAATTATAAAAATAGATATTCATTCCAAATTTTTGGAAAGGTTAAAAATGGAAATTACTAATTATTCCTTCTTCTCTCTCCTCTTCCCCCCAATTTTGGACGGATAGAAAAATACAAAGCAAGGAGGGAAGGGAGGCCACTACTGGAAAACCCTTTTATCCCCTCTCATCCATCCCTCCTCAATCATTCCCTCCAACCAAACATAGCATAAGGGTGTGTGAGTGAGCAAAACCCAAATAAAGAGGGAAGGGAGGCCACTACGACACAAAGCAAGAGCGGGTTCTTCTCAAGTATGTTGGCCGAGGCAAATTCAAGTGAGGATTACAGCCTTGGTGTCGCACAGATTAGGCAAGAGCGTTAGCGAAACTATAGGCCCGTTAAAGTTGGAATTAAAGCGAGGTTTCACTCCAAGGAAAATGTGAAGAAAAGACTTATTCTAGGCCTACGTAGATAACAGGCATTGCAATAAGGATTGATGGATTTGTCAATATTCGAAACCTTCCCCAAGAAAGTGGACGATAAGGAGAGGCACCTCCAAAAGTAAGTAACCAACCTCCAGGAATGGTTGGTGAGGGAGTTGGCCATTGCTAAGGAGGTCAAAATGAAGTGAACGAAAAAGATGGTACCAGAACCCAAGGCCTATGATGGGGTTAGGGACACGTGCCAGATCAACAAATTTTTTGGAACATGGACACCTCCAAGAATGGTTGGTAGCTTGCAAGAGGGAGTTGGCCACAGCTAAGGAGGTCAAAATGAAGTGAACGAAAAGGATGGTACCAGAACCCAAGGCCTATGATGGGGTTAGAGACACGTGCCAGATCAAAAAAAAAAATGGAACATGGAGAGAAACTTTGATGATCTAGACATCAATGATGTTGAAAAGAAGGTGCAAGATGCACCATGTATTGACAGACGTGTCACACTAAGGTGGAGACAATGCTTCATGGAAAGGGCACCCAGCCGACTGAAACTTGCAATGAGTTCAAAAGAGAACCAAGTGAGAATGTAGAGGACTTTGACATGATCAAATTGTGCCACCTCAAGCAAAATGGATCCATTAGGGAGCACATGGAGTATTGCACACTAATACTAGAGATTTCAGAGATGCCATATGGCAGTGCATATGCTTCTTCATTGACGGGTTACAACTGTAAGCCATAGGGGCCACAGGACTTGACAGCCTCCATGGAAATTATGACAACTCCCTAATGATTTTAGGCAAGATGATAAGACAAAGTCGAGAAAAAGGAATCACATTACAGGTGGAGGATACCAGCAGCACAAAAACACAGGTACACCCAAGAGATGATGAACAAAGTAATGGATAGAGGGGTATACAACATGAAAAGGACAAGGACCATGGTCGGCTGTCCAAGCCCTACACAAGGGTCAAGGATGACTGCCGTGACAAGGGCTGGCATGAGATGGAGTATTCCCAATGCAGTGGGGTACACTAGATGAGAGAATGCCCTGAAAGGAATGAGCTGAACACACTATTTAAGAAGAAAGGCAAGGAGGTGGATAACTTATCCTCCTCAAGAATTAACTACAATACATGGGAGTGAAGAAAGGCGTATGAGCTCCATGCATTTATTAAGCAAGATGGAAATAGATTAAGGCCAAGAGAAGGGAAGAATATCTCCAGAGTAAGCTAATGGATGTTAAGATTGGTGGCAAAGTCATGCAAGCCATAGTTGTTAAAATAGCGATTTGGATCATAGGATCCTACAATACTGAAGTGCTAGATCGATCCAGATCACTTGAGAGCAGGATCATAGTACAAATGACAGTAGGATTGTATGCCTACCAATACTATAAAATGTAGTTGTTTTGTTCTTTTTTTGAATTTTTTGGGCCTACTACCCCTTTTGGGCAAAGAAATTTAAGTATAAAGCCTAACTCTTTTAACCCAACTGCATCTAAAAAAATAAAAAAAGAACAAAAGGCATAAACACAACATTAAAACACAAAATTAGAAGCTAGGGCAGACTGCTGCATCGATACACTTTTAAGATACAATCTCCAACATACTTGAATGAACTTGCCCATAAACATATGTTACATATGTTTAGAGCATTATTTCTTTTTCTTTTTTCTTTTTTGTGTGCGCGCGCGCCTTAGCCTTATTCTCTATTTAATTTAAAGACATTTTTAGTTAAAAAGTTGGTTTTAGTTACTTTTCTAATAGTTTTGTACAATTTTACGATCCCCGGTCCGATCCTACAATCCCAATTCTATGAACACTCCACCCCCACCCCAAAATAAAAAAGGATAATTATCATATACATCAACAAAATATTGACTGCAAAGTTGATTTATCCAACGCACATGTCCAAGAAATTAAACAAAAAAAATTTATTAAATATATTATATTAACATGCTCAATTAGTTTCCTAGTTAAATAAATTCTCTTCGCCACAGTAGTATATTATACAAGGAGTGAGATCAATAGAATATTAAACAAGGAGTATGAGACCAATAATTTTCAATATGAGACCAATAACTTTCAATACTCTGATGTCTGATTGCTAATTCTCTAGAATTTTAACATTTCTTTGTAGTGTTGAATATTATAGAAAAAGGATGATAGAATGTTAGAAACAATAGGGAAAAAACACAACCAGCAGAAAATGAACAAATAAATAACAGTATCAAACCTTCGCTGTTGCGTGTCTAAGTTAATCAAGACAAAATTCACAGTGAGAATAAGATCTGAATTTGCATTATCATGGCCATCATTGAGCACTCCAATAGATGGGCTTGTCAGGAACCGCTTTGGATTTAGTTCTTCTGAATAAGAGAATTGTGGGTTGCATATTTGGTACGTCTGAATGATGTCCTTAGTTAACCTAGCCACCAACTGCAAAGATGAGAACTGTATGTCATCACAATGTAATTCATTACGTATAAGTTATATGAATTATAATATACAAACTGCTTGTACAAAGTCCAACAAGCTACAATGCCAAAGAAGCTGCCGACTTCCAATATACAGATGGCTTCTTATTAGATTCTAGCAGTAAGGTCTAAAATCAAGTGGTAAAGGCACACGTGTTACCCGCGCATCTTTACTAGTTTATCCTAATATACCATTTATTAGAAAGAACGTATCTACATTTTCACTTTTTACTACTCCTGGGCATGTATCGAACACGTCGTGAACAAATCAATAATAGAATACATGCCCAATACTTCTTCGACACTTACCAATATGTGGGAAATGAATCTTAAAAGTTGTTTTATGAGTTTCTTTCAAGTCAGAAACAACTACACCAAAAAGAAAAATGGATTTATATATACCTACAATGAAATTTTTTATCATATTTTAAGAATATAAAATACAATATAGGAAGTTTTTAACGAAAAAATGGGCATAAAAATAAATAAATAAAATAAAATAAAAAATGTCATAATTTTGTACATAGATGCAAAGATCAACACACGTACCTACACATAAATTATTGTGTCCTCACTACTCTTTGTCAATGCAGCAAAAGAAAATTTTAATTTTTAATTGATTCATAAGTTAATAATTTAAGGTAGTCATAGAATATTATATTTACTTATTATAAGTTAATCTTCTTGTCTACAATCCAGTTTTATATATAAAAATTCATTGTTGTAGTGTCCATGTCTTGCTCAAATTGTTCTGTGTGTGTGCCTATGTTGTGCCCATGTCTCATATCCATATCCACGCTTTATAAATTTTTTGCTAAGAAACTACAAATTCTATATATCAATATACTTTTTCAATTCAATTAGTGTTCAATATCATTATATATCTATGTCATCGTCATCGTCATCGTCATCCTTGCCTTAATCCCATATGAATGGCGTCAGCCAAATAATTCTCTTTTCACATTATTTCTCCTATTATAAGTCATCTCTCCTGCAATATTTAAATTTTTTAAATCATTCCTAATCATTTCATCTGTCTCCTACCTTCTATACAAATTAGTCTCTCTTCTTAACGGAATATCTATATATCTTCTTTGAATATGTCCACACCACCTAAATCTATTTTCTCTTATTTTATTACTGGTAGGCACCATTTTATTTCCTATTTGGAACTCAAACACCCACTACCCTCCTATGAGAACTTGAACCCTCGACCTTTTACTTGACCTTTTGCTTTAAAAGACGTTGAAGTGCCTAGTTCCACTAGGCTACAACCCTTGGTCGTGAGAGGCACCATTTCTATGGACTTGCACCACACCAAACAAAGGTTGGTGAGATGTATATATATATATATATTACCCTCATTCACATGGGCAAACACATGCAAGTGATATTATATTCTAGACTTCTAGTTCAGTTCTTGATAGCAAACTGCATTATTGTTATGCTAACAGATTTTAGATACTTAGATGCACCTTCAAGTACTACCCAAAAAAACCATCTACGTCACAAAAATTGGCTTGAATAAGGCTTAATTTGGGCTAAACCTAGTTATTATTGACCATTCTTTTAAGTGAGGCCAATCCATAAAACCAAACTGATCCAAATTGCTCTGTTAAGGTTTGTTTAGGCAGCTCAGTTCGATTCCGGTTTTCAGAGGAGCATCCCGATCAGTTGGTTCTGATTTAACATCAAAACCAAGCCAGGTCCAGCATTTAAGAATGCATTTCCATAAAAGGGTAACATTCCATAAGAACATGGCTGGAAGAAGAAATCTTTGCCAGTAAACACTCAAGAAGATATGCCATAAAAAATAAATCAAAATTCAATGTGCAAAGAAAAACAAATATTGGAATCCGAAGTAACATGAACAGCTAATGGGCAAAAACACTTACAGGTCTTCTAACAACAACGCGCAACGATTGGGGCTTGGCAACAGGATCATTCACCGGAGAATAAGAAGAGAAGACGAGCTGACTCGGACGCCATGGTGCCGTCATCGACCCAGAGGAGGATGATAACAAGGACTCATCCACTGCCAACTCTGAGAGTTCAGATTCACCTTGCTTACTAGTACTGACCTCATCCATGAACCACCACAATCCCAAGCCTCTATACAAGACTGTATATATATATTGTGCGTTTGTGTGTATCTATATATATATATATATATATATTGAAGTGCAAATCCACAGATTCAGCGATTCGATTGCCACCCAATCGGATGCATTAGACTTCCGGCAAATTCAAGGAATTCACCAGAAGATTCCAATCCCATCCTCATTCACCAAATATTTCTAACAGTCATAACAGCAGAATTCTAATTATCAGATCCATCAAATCACAAAATCAAAATCAAAACCAGTCCTCCATGCATATCAATCAATCAAGTTGATAATACAAGGACTTCGTTTGGGAATCAAAACATGCAAACAATAAATTTGAGAAAAAACGATGAAGAAAGAAGAAGAAATCGAAGAGGAAAAAAAAAGTCGCAAATCAATAAAAAAATAATAATCAGAAGATACAATCGATCAAAAAGTTTATAAATTAGAATAAAAGATCAAAAGAAGACAACGACAAGGATAAATGGCGATTGAAGAAGATATAGGGAATTGAAAATGAGAGAGAGAGGACTCCAATTTTTTTCTGAGCCACCGTCTCTGCCTCGAAATGGTTTTTTGTCTCCGAGTCGCGAGTTCGTTCGGAGGGGTAAAAAAAGCTGCTATTGGCAAAAAAAAGTTTCGCTAGCGCTGTTGCATATATCATATAATAATAGCATGGGATAACAATATTTTATGTTAATTACCCGGAATACCCTTGGATTTCTTAATTTTCACCCACGTATGGTGAAAGTAACAGAGTTCAGGTGTCCAACAGTATTTGTTTTTGCCACTTTTTTTAAGTTAGTTTTTTTTTTTTTTTTGATGAAATATAATTATCAACATAAAATTTAACTAAGATGTGAAGTACCATTTTCACGGAAAAGTAAAATTTTCCTGTGTTTTATGTCAGAAAATTTTTGAGAAAAATTAAGCCGTTGCACGAAAATTACTTTCCTAAAAAAATTTTCTTTTCCGCTAACCAAACTCCTAAAAAAGTTAAATATTTTCCTTTTCTTTTCCTTTCTATCTATTTTATGCTAACCAAACAAACCTTTAATATGTCACTTTCTTTCTCCTAACCCTTTTCTTCTCAATTTCTCATGTATAAAATTATTTTTATTAGAAAATTTATTAAATCGTCCTCGATCATGTGGTCTATTTTAATCAAATAAAACTTTAATAAAAAAGAATGAATATATCCGAATATAATAAAATAATATAAAGAAACTTGAATATGAACTTTTTTTATTTGAATTGAATTATGATCCTCTAATAAATTTTTATTTTTTCTCTATAAAATTCCCTCTTCAACTATCTTTTTATTTATATCAATTGTCATCACATATCACCACCTCAAATGAGAATGGCAATTTTGGCCGAGTTGGCTAGGTGCTCACTCCATGAAGAGTTATTAAGGGGAATAAAGGCATGGTTTGGTTTTAAAAAAAAAAGTAAGTCCGATTACAATTTAGAATAGGAACGGTTTTAGTAATAAACCCACCTTGTATTGCCCTAATTATATAGCAAAATCCTATTACATACCCTTTTACCCTTATATATATGTGATGCAAATATATATATTTATTTATGTAATTATATACAAGGGTTTCATGTCTCCCACTTTTCCTTTCAAATTAATTATACAATAATGATAGAGAATTCGACAATCAAATGTATCCGATTAAATTTAAGTGAGTAGAAAATGATATCATAATAACATCATAATATTTAACGACGTATGATGATGTCATCTCCACACACATAAATCAGTGAAATGTATCCGACTTTTGAACTACTTATCATTATTCTTAATTATAATATATTGGACTTATAATTTAGGTGATGATCTTACTTTTTAGGGTTTAATAAACCTAAAGTTCAATATCCATATTTTAGATATCATTTTGTACCTGGATATTGGCACTCCTCTGTTTTTTTTTTTTTTTTTTTTTGTGACTGCATTCCAATTTTGAAGAAAAAGACACTCCCAACCCTAATTGCATAATTAAACAAATATATATATATATATATATATATATATATACCACAACCAGACTCAATGGGTAATATAGTAATATCTACGTAGCAGCCCCCGCAATCAGAACAGAGCTTTGAAATATACTTCTTCCTAGTTCCATGATGTTTTAATATTAGACCCTCTTGTACAAAGTAGTGAAACCACGGTTCGTATAGTTAGGCACAGTTCTCTGTTTGCTTTTGGACATTCTGAAATGTGATTGTATTGTAATTTGTGTTGAATAAATTATCTATTTTGTCAAGGAAAAAAAAAAAAAAAAGAGTACCGTATGGAAAAGAAGTTAAAATAAATTAAAATTTTTACAATGAAAGGGTAATTACGGTATTATAGAAGAAAGAATGATATATTAATAAAGTAGAGTAACAAAAAATTTCCAAAAATGGTGCGAATAATAGTAAAAGTTTGAGATGTGACAAATAATAAATATGCGTGGTTTTAGATAGACATTTTCCTCCCTTTCCGGGTCGAATAGACACGTTAAAGTTGCAGTCGTAGGGGGCATTTTGACAGCATGTGTTAAAATGGTAAAGTTGCATTACCAAAAGTAAACACGAAGTGTGAAAGCCCACCTGGCCTAGCCCAATATCATCGATCCATGATCCTAAGAATTTCTTGGATAGTATGGGTCTAAGCATTCGAGGCCCAAAGTGACCCAATTAAATGTCCAATTAATTATCCAGAATATAATTTTAAAAGCAAAGACTAAAATGGTACTTTTGAGTGGTAGAAATTATGGAATTTAATACTTGAAGTGTCTTATCTGTAATAGTCAAGCTTAGTCATGTCTAGATGATAATAATTTTTTATGCGAACAGTATTTTCTGGCCTAATTTAAGTTCATGGATGAGATTGAAGCTTCGAGTCTGTCTATGGTATCTTCAAAAACGCTCTGGCAAGCAACGAATTTATTTTTACCTTGCTTGTTATTGATCTTTAACATCAATAATAGTTCTTAAGAGGTTAATTTCACATGGACACAAGGAGTGAGTGCATCTAGTTCAAGTTGAGAATTTAAATCTTTTTCAATGCACTACTATTTTTTTTTAAACCTCACCAAACAACCACCACCACCCTCAATCCCACTCCGCCGGCATTTGAGAAATCGGCATCAAAGGCGGAGCCGGTGTATGCCCAGGGCACTTGCCCCTCGCCTGCCCCGCCCACTATACATATAGGAAATTTTTTATATTTTATTTGTGTATATATGGAATTTTTTATATCATGCCCCCTTAAACTTATTAGTTTTTTAAATTATCTCTTATTTTTCTAATTTTTTTCTAATTTACTCTTCAAATTCCTTTAAAAAAAGTTAAATTTTCCAGACATTTGATACCATTATATTTAACCTACCTTTTGTTTTTTCATTATTCCAAAACACAACACATTTTATAAGTCATTTGATACGCGCTCATGTCACTCATAGAGGCTCTGTCAGTAATCAACGCCTCCTTTGATTCGATCCTAGTTTGTTTCTTGTCTCTGTATTCCAATTTTATTATATCGCTTTTGCTTTCTTGATCATAAATTATTCCTATTTTTCGTTTTATATAGTTTTTGTTTTCTTGATTTATTTCTTCTGTATTCTTAATTCTCATACTTGTCCTATTTTACTTATTTTTGGCATTAGATCGAAGATTTGACTATAACAACTACCCATCAAAGGATCATACATATACCTCATTGATTCCAAGTTGTAAAAGAAACTCAAGTAAAATAGAGATAACATGTCCGAACTTTGTGGCCAGCCGAAATATAGATATGCTCGATGACAATAAAATTTTCTAACAAACTTCCAAGTAAAAGCACGACCGAGCAAGTCATAGGCACCTATGGAACCTATCATGGTTGTTTTTAATGATGTAATGTCTTTTTTCAAGACTTGTTTGGGATCATTACACGTCAAGAAAAAGTTATTACACGTGCTATTGTAGCCGAATGTAGTGATTATGAGTAGAACATTTGGCCCAATGATTTTTTCTCCCTAACTGTATTTTTTCTCCGTCGAAATAATATGGTTCGTTTATTGGTGCCAAAAAAAATAAAAAATTAAAGGGTGATGTATTATTTTGCACAGAAAAGGACCAGCCAAATTATATATATATATATATATATATATATATATATAATATGATTTTTTTTTTTTTTTTGAAATTTAAAATATCAATATGATTACCTAATTAATAACATTCAAAAAAAAAAAAAACTGAGTTTTAGAAGGTCTACATCTTTCCCTTTCAATATGTATAAACAAAACCAGAAGAAAATTACGGCACGAGTTTCACATATACATGAGATGATGAAAATGAACATAACAATTTAACTGGTATATATAAATATATATCTGCCATGTGCATACAAAGAACTAAGCTCGCTAGCTTGCATATACGCACGAGTCTGTTGGTATTAATTACTGGCTCCATTGTGGCGTCTAGATGGAGCTGAAGGTGGGACAAGGAGGGTGCCGCGAAAACTAGTGGAGAAGTCATGGTCGCTCATGTTGAGATCATTCATGTTCGAGTTCCTCTTGATGATGCCTCTGTGGTGGAGGAAGAGCAAAAGCAGCAAGAGTGGAATGATCACTAGGATTTGCCAATAAGCCATGAGATCGATACAGAGATGCCAGTACAGAACTTGCAGATCAATTTTGATGATAAGTCCTCGAAATTGACTTGTGCTTTGGTTGGAGCTGCTTCTGAGCTTTGCCGTTAAGAGTGAAAAGTCAGAGTGAGAGAGGGTATTGTATATGTATCCATTTGATTTGGTTGGGAAGAAAAGGCAAAGTTTTCTTAACCATACCCCAAATGGTTGAAAGAAATGTCAAAGATGCAGAGTAACGGACACAGCCAGACTACAAAAGAGAGAGAAGTATTAATGTGGGTTTAGAGAGGAGATGATAACAGACAGAAAAATAATCAATGAGGTAGAAACAGGTTTACTCAATGGGTGTAAGTGGTTAGAGAGATAGAGAGAGAGAGAGAGACAGTTTTCACGTGCTTAAACTTTGTATATCTTAGATTGGACCCTCTCTGAACCCCAAGGTCTCAAGCGCATAGTCTAATGACTTGAGTGTTGGAATCCCTTTGACACCACTCCAGGACGTTTTTTCAATAATTGTCAAGTCCGCCGCTACGCATGTCTGATGGTAGATTATGGGGATGCCCTACGCATGTCTAATGGTAGATTATGGGGATGCTCGACACCACAATCATCCACCCAAAAAAAAAATAATAATAAGTGGGGTATCCCAGGAGACAAGTATTGTTCTGCAACTATTATGGTGATTAATTTTAGAAATAGAATATTGAGAAAATGTTCAAGACAGGAGCAAGTCGTACAAATACATTTCATTGAATTAAAGTAACCCCTCTTTACAAGATTTCAAGTTTCAACTGATTCCTTCTATCCAATTTGAAACAAGAACAGGTCATCCACAAATGGAAGAAGGGTAATGCCAATTTTTCTACAATCCCCGTCAATTTTCAAAATCACTAGTAGTGACTTACTATATTGGAGGTGTCCATTTAGAAGTTACACAACAAGTACATTGAGCTAAGGGGTACAAGTCAACCAGATCTATTGTCACATGCCCCTCTTACCCTTGGGGAAAAAAATGTTGATTATTGCCAGAGAGATCACACACCCGATGTGAAACAGAACACATCTATGCATCTGTAAAAAACGAAATGGAATTTTGCACCTCTCATAAGCTTCTTAGACAATACACCAAAGATGTTTATCTGGGTGTAGCTGAGTCATAAGGGTCTGAAATTATCCAGACAGGAATCCTCCAAAAGAAACACCTACCATGACTCGTCTTGATACATGGGAGTCTAAGTGAACACCTAGCAAAATACACTGCCCAAAAATCCACAGATGCCGCTATGAAAACAACAGTTTATATGCATAGAAAAAATATTAACGATCATATGCAATGCTTACCTTCATCTGAGTAGGATGATGAAAAGATGAGTTTTGTGAAGAATGAACTCTTTAGATAAACAAAGCACACCATGAAATTATGGGCACATGCAAACAGGTCTTAATTCATAAGAAAGAGAGCAAGGAATTAATTAAAGATAGCTTCAGTCTTGACTGACACTATAGTTACACCATCATTTTCCTTCTGCTTCAGTGGGGGTCTTGGTAGTCATCTGGTCAACTGCATGCACAGTGTTTTGAAGTTCCTCCCATATGGCTTTGTATACCATCCTCTGCCTATTGACAGCGGACTGTCCCTCAAACGCTGAAGAGATCACATCAATGCTGCAAAAATACATGGCAAAGTTGAATTGTAAAACTACTATTCAATTGTAAGTCAAAGGGTCGCGGTACTTGGAACAAAAATATTAAAGCTCTGTTTGGTTTGAGGAACTAAAAAGTGAAGGAAAAGGTATGAAGGATGGAGGATATGTAACACTATATTTGGGAGTCTTCAGAAGGAAGAAAAAAAGGAAATTCCATAAGGGGAGACACCCTTGAATGGGAGTTTTAGGGAAGAAAAGGATTGGAATATAATTCTCTCGTCCTTTGTTCGAGAGTGTACAAGGATAGAAAACAAGTAAATAATCTTTATTTCGTAAATAGGAAGTGTGAGAAAGGAGATCACATCTACTAAAGATTTAAGGCCAAAATTGCCACCAAGGACCTAGAACAAGTGATATTTCCTCCTCCCATATGGGAGGTTGCAGCTTCCAAATCCTGTTGTGAAAATAGTGGGGGTGTATCTTACGATCTTACCTATAAAAAATAATAACAATAATAATAACAAAGAAGAAGAAGAAGAAGAAGAAGAGAAGGCCAAAAATGAAATTACAAACTCATTTCTCTCTCCCCCCATTTCTTCTTACTTTCGAAGAAAGAAAAGGTGGGGTCTTTTAATTTGTAAACTGAAAGGGTGAAATAAGAAATCACTTCTTCTAAATATAAAGACCAAAACGGGTGAGGAACACTTTTTTTTCTTGTGTCCATTTCTTCCTACTTTTGAAGAGAAAAAAAGTGGGTCTCATTCCTATTCTTTTCTCTATTAAAAAAATTCCCAGAGTTTTTTTCATTTATTTCCATGATTTTCTGCCATTTTGCTTGGTTGAACAAGAAACAAATGAGGAAAGAATAATGGGGTGCTTCATGATTCTAACTTCATAACCTTACATTTTCAGAGAATTCTGTTATTCAAACGAGAAAAATGCAATAAAAAGTGGGGCTCTTTCCTAGAACTTTCCTCTCACTTTGGGAAGAAAAAAATATCTTTCGAGGGAAATGCCTTCCCCTTTCTTTATCCTTTTCATCCTACCAAACAATGGAAAGTCTATTCATCCCTTCACATTCCTTCAAGGTGATCTCCTGATATAAGTAAACAGACATAACAAGAATCCAAAGTGTCTGGCAAGGAAGTAGATATATTGATATCTTGGATGGTATATATGTCATCACGGATGATGGGAGTTACAGAAGGTACTCAAATATATTGTTGCAACTCGTGTTTAAATATAATTTCTTCTTCTTCTTCTTTTCTTTTCTTTTGGTATGTCATAAACACATTGAGGGTAATCGTAGAGGAAGAGGAAGCTAAAATTAGCATTTAGCGAGACAATAGTGAAAGATATGATGAAGTGTCTTTAAAGTTGATCTGGGGCCATAGAAAGGACATAATGGTGTGGTGATACAAGCTCAGATTGTCAAACCTGAGGTTGAAAGCAGTAATATTGTGTAGAATAAAATGGAAGGTTATCTTTGGTCTTCCCCCTCCAAACACTGCAAAATGGGCAGAATTAGCACCGGGTAGTAGTACTCAGCGGAGCAGAACGGATAAACAAGATACCGATCCCAAATAGATGAGAAAGATATTATTGAGTTGAGTTGAATTGAGTAGCAAGTTCTAAGCACCCTTGAGTACCAACAGAAACTTGTTCATAACATAGACATGGAGTAGGTATAACTGTGGATAAATAACCAAAAGAAGTTGCAAACTTTAATAAGTAGAGCTAGGGCTATTTTCCTATCGAAAAATTGAAAAATAATATCAGTAAAAAAACTTAGGAGAAGACGCAAAAATATTCACAAGTGAAATGCAACACAGATCAGATTTAATGAACTTTTTAGTTTTTAAACGATGACTTTGATAAAATATAAAATGAACAAATCTGAGGGATTTGTGGAAAGAGACGATATGATAGTGATAACCCAATGTTACCTAACATGCCGACCATCACCATAAGCATCCTTCACACTGACAGATTCAGCATTTAGATGTTCCTTAATCTGTTGAAACACATCGCTATTATATTTAGATTGATGTATGTACAACAAATAAAGTTCAAAAAAAAAAAAAAAGGAAGTCCATGATTGATGCCAGACACAGAAAATCAACCATGAAACACATAAATATAGAATAAAAACAAAATGTTAAATAAGTCAGCATTGTTAGAAATGCACATTATCAACTTTAAAAAATGTTAAATAGAACAGCAATTGGCAGAAATGAAATTAAAAACTCAAAAAGAAGAAAAAGAAGAAGAAAAGAAACAAAATTGATCAAAACATTGATTGTCCAAAGTGCAGTGAATGAGTCCCAGAGACACAAAAGAATAGTTAATTATCAAATGACACCTAATTTTCCATAAAGCAGATTGTGTCTAATGTTAATAATAGGTGTTAATCATACAAGCCAAAAAATTATAATAAAAAATTGTAACATAAACTATCACCAATGGTACTCCAAACAGATTAATCCAATCAAGCCTTGCATATCCAAAGTTTCAAACACTTGGTGCTAGCTGCATTAGTCATTTTTGCCATTTACTTGTACTAGGAAGCTATCTTTTATTCCCACAATTTCAAGTTTCAACACTACTACTGGTTGGCCATCATCTTATCCTTGTAGCCACTTCATCCTCAATTTGATGAATATGCAATGTTGGAACCATTATTCATCTCGATTGGCACTTCCATAACTTTTTTATGCATGCGTATGATTCTCATCATGCTATCATTACTTATAATTCCACTCATCCCTCAGAGAACTAGAATTAAGGCCACAATATTTTATGGTCATCTTAATTGTCCGGCATTCAGTTTCATAATAAAGCAAAGAAATCATTGTGAACATCTTGCAAAGTTTTCCCACCCATTTGACTGATGATAGATAATAAGAACACTCTAGAATCTAGATGCTCTCTTTCACTTCATCCAGTTTTTCATTCTATGGTAACACTCCTTTCAATCTGCCTAGTTCAAATATGATTGTTTAAAGATAACTAAAATAGTCATTTCAGGTCTCTGCCATTAAAATTTCACTAGTCCACTTCTATACAGTTAAAATTCATTAGTTTTGTTCATTCTACTGTCACTATGAATCTGAGAAAATATAATTCCCACTATTATTTCAGATCTTTTAAGATAAAGTATACTATAGCACCTCTTCTTAAAAATGCCATGCTCATCCACAACCAACGAAAGAACAAAATGGCTAACAAAAGTGAAGTGTGAATATCATTTCTCTTTATAAAACCCTTATTCCATATCTTAGTTCTTGCTTCATCACTATGTTTGTCTATGAACTTAAACATCAAATAAGAAGATTGCATCCATGGTCACATGGTCAACTGATTGGTATGAATGGAACGAATTTTGTCAAATCTAGTTTTCATCTAGTCATAAATTCTCTAATACAAATGGCATTTTATTCTTACAAAAGTATCTATAAAGAGAGACAGAGATCAGAGACAAAATCTCATTTGTTTGCGCAGTACTGATTGGTTTGGAAGTCGAAATGATCTGGAATACAAAGGAATAACAGCAAAATTATAAATTCATGAAAACTAAACATAAATTGCAATAAATTAATGAACAAGATAAGCTAATATATATGTGTGTGTGTGTGTGTGTGTGTGTGTGTGTGTGTGTGTGTGATTAATCAAAAATGTCTCAGGCTTTATGCATACACAACAAGAGTGTAATTGAGAGGTATTAGATAGTAACCAAAAGTGATCAAATCATCAAAACATGTAATGTCAAACTAACCTTCACTTATTTGTCATAGATACAAAAGATCACAGTTGATTGTGTTCGTATAATCAAAGACACCGTCACATTAATTCTAATTTTTCATCCCCAGTTCAATGTGGTTCATGAGGAAATGTTTGAGCAATTCCAATGGAAAACAAAGCCAATTTTTTTATACTCAGTAGTCCGTACACAGAGGAGTTCTTCTACTCCATTCACGTTGCATTTTATAGGCCTCAAATTATGGGTAAAAGATTAAATCGGTTAAACTAAACTACACCATTTTTTTAAAAAAAAATTTATATGATTCCAACCCTAAAAATAGTGCTAAATCCTTCCTTGGCCTTTTCATAATCTTTATTTCTTGTTAAAATTTAAACTAACTAAATTTTCTAAACTACATATGCTTTTCTTTTCTAATTGCAGGGGAATTAAGTTCTTTTAGACTAATTAACAATAATAAGAATGAATTTATTTATTTATTGATGAGATGGGTTAATTTACCTTCTTCTCCATTGACGCCATCAAGGGGGAGTCTATTTGGCTAGAATCGTTAACATCTGTTGTTGCTCGGATACTGATACTCCGACGACGACCCACGGCGGCCGGACCACCACCCTCCGATTTGGTTCCGCCGCCAAGGAGCTTGGTCCCACAATTGCTCTGCGACAACAATAGATTGCGCGGAATGACATAATTATAGGGTTTCGTCAATAGAGAACAATATGGGAGAGCGAGGCTGCTGAATAGATGGGCTCGGGATGCACACAACGCGATCATTTGCGGACGCATCAGCAGCGTCTTCGCCGCCATCGCAATTAGACAAACGAAAATGAGGAGGATGAGTCTTTTCTTCGTCAGATACGAGTATTACTTTTGTATGTATATATGTCAGAGTATTTGAGCAAGAGGTTCTAATAATTGTAAATGAAACCAATATTTTCTATATTTTAATAAATGCTTATAAATTTATTCTAAATTGTCCAAACAACTAATTTTGCTCTTTATTATTTATAGTATAAATTAATCAAACAACTAATTTTGCTCTTTATTATTTATAGTATAAATCAAACAACTAATTTTGCTCTTCATTGTTTTTAATTATATAATTCAATTTTTTTTTTAATTTATAGTAGACTATAAAGCTTTAATCTATTCTTGGAAACAGGAGTATCTAATATTTATTTTGAATTTTTTTTTTCTATTTATGTAAAATAATCAAATTGTCTAAAAGTTTAAGTTTATAAAAATATATATATTATTTTCTATTTAAAACTTTTATATATATTGACAAGAAATTCACACGATCTCATGCTTAACGTCGTTACACAAGACTATATTAGTGAAATTTTGTTTCTTAAACAAATATAAAACAATGTGATTAAATAATAAAAAATTAGAAACAAATCATATATTAAAAATTTATAGTTGCAAATTTTAGTTTAAATAGAATATTGAGTGGTTTAAATATTATGTGGATTAATGTTCTACATGTAGGACCTAGCTATGAGGTACCAATACTTTTTTGAAGGCACTGTGTGCTATCGAATGCTTTTTGAATAGGTGAATACAACTCAGACACGTGCCCAATATTGTTAGAACACGGCATGGACACATCACTGATACATTTTTGACACTTTCATAATATAGTCTGGTGATTTTGTAATTATTTTTTAAAAAAATAAAATTTAATACAATTTAAAATATATTATGAATTAATTAAAAAAATAATATAAAATTTTAGAAAACAAAAATAACAAACATCTAATTATAAACTCCAATTAATTGTTTTATTTATGATTATATAGATAAAATGGTAAAAATATATTATTTCCATATATTATGCTCTTATTTTTTTGACATATTGTACTTGTATTCTATATATTTTTTAATTTGTCGTATTATAGTACCCAAGTATTCATACCCTAATATATTCTATTTGCACACCTAGCATATAAATAATGTGTAAAGAAAATACTAACACCACTTATGATCGAATTAGTATGATCGAATTAGGTTTGGAATCGTTCTCTAAGTCTCCACTAATATTAGTAAATAAAATAATAATAATAACAACCTTACAAAGTAGATCGTTTGAATTGTATAGTGCACATTTTTTTGTCACGTTCCGTCAATTTATAGAGAGGTTCATTATTCTTATTTTATAGAATTTGTAAATATGTGTAGCATAAATTGTATAAGAGATTCTATACGCATAGGAGTTTTGTAGTGTTATAAATATTTGTGTAAAAATTTTTAGATGTTAGATATAATGTTTATATAAAGGGAAGAGGTATGATTTGTAATCAACGAACTCTATCATGAGATAGCATTCTACAATCACTCTTCCACTAGAAATAGAAGTATTCCTTACCAGAGGTCCAGAACCCACCTAGTGTGAGTGCATTTTTTTGGATTTGTGTTTCGGTATCATGTATCATGTATGGCAACAACTTATCAAAGAAATAATTCAGTTTCTCTACTGCTTGATGAAATGAGTGATGCGTAAATTTTATTTGTTTTGCTAAAGTAAAATAATAATAATAATAAAGAGATATTTGGAACAATAACCCAAATTTATATAATTTGCTTTACTTTTTTCAAACGAGCTTGATTAAGATATTTTCATTCAAATATTCAATATTTGCCCATTAAATTAATTTTTGTTACTTTAGGGGAGAATGTTATTGTTTCCTTTGTTTTTCTTCATAATTTATCTTCAAGTCTTTTATTTATTTATTTATTAAGTGCTAAGTTATGTTTGATAATTCGACACTTCTATTCTAAACAAACTAAACCCTTATCCAAATAATAGTCATGTAATTTAAATATTGCTAATCTTAAAATTGTGTAAAATTAGAAGTGATAGAAACATCACTTATAACTCAAGAGTGATAAACGCTAAAAATTCAATAGAGTGTAAAAAAATATTAATTTTTTAATTATCATTTTAAAACATCAACACTTACAATTCAACTCTTACATTTTCAAATTAATAAAACAACTTTTTATCCTTTATTTTCTTTTTCCTTATCCAAACAAAACTTTAGAGCAACGATATAATGCCTTGTTTAGCAAGGAATAATAGCCGTATGGGGCTGGCCAAAGGTGGACTACCCCAACAGTTGCTAGCCAAACATGCCACTTTAGATCAACCTTAATGTCAATTCTAAACTTTGCCAATCCAAATTTGCTAATTCAACTTTCTCAAAGAGCCAAAAATACTGGCGTGACTCTTTAAAATTTAGCTATCGCATATACTTTAATAGTGCATTTTCGCACTTCAAAAATAATAATATTTTAAAATATTAAAGTTTTTTTTAAAAACTTTTTCCCAATGGCTATATTTCTAATGACAAATTTCAAACGGCTATATATTTTCATCTTATACACACATTTAAAAGCTTGTCTCATCACTACATTTTTATTCTTCATTGTAGCAAAATATCATTCTTCATCTCCTTCAATCTCGAAATTCTCTCATTACGATTTTTTTCCTTTGCTAGACTTTTAATTCTCTATCTTTTTCGACATCCTCCTCATCAGATAACCCTGTTGTTGTTTCGATTCAACAAAATCAAGATGCCTACAATTTACTTTTGAATTTAGTGAGCCTAGAGATAGTAGAACAAGTCTTTTCAAATGCATAAGATGCGGTACATTCATCGTGATCGAAAAGGAAGCAATCGTCTACTACTGAAAGACTACTTTAATGAGATCTAATTGCACATATTCACCGGAGTACTTTCACGGACGATTCAAGATGCAATGAGAACTATTTCTTCGTATCCTAAACGATTACGACTACTTCGTCCAAAAAGGGATGTGATAGGTCGTTTGGAGTTGTCACGTACACTCGCATATGGTTGTGCAGCAGATAACTGTGATAAGTGTATTAAAATGGCCGAGAGCATTGCCATTGAAAGTGTGATGGCATTTTGTAAGGATGATTTTGGTGTGTATGGTGAAGAGTACATTCACCCACCCACCGAAACCAATATATTACGACTGCTTCGATAAAGGGAGGAGAAAGGATTCCCGGATATGCTTGGTTTTTATCGACTATATGCACTATGAGTGGAAGAATTGCCTAGTAGCATGACATGACACACACGTACAAGGGACACTCCCACATGCCTACGCTCATATTGGAGGCGATAACATCAAAAGATTTAAGAATTTGACATGTATTCTTTCGAATGCTGGGTTCACACAATGATATTAACATGTTGGATCATTCTCTAGTATTCAACAGTATCATCACTGGCCAAATACCTCTGGGTAATTTTGTGGTGAATTGCCATCACCATAGAATGAGAGTATTACCTATCTGATGATATATATCATAAGTGGGCAACTTTGATACAAACAATCTCGCACCTACCTATTGAAAACGAAATTTTTTTTGCTCAAAGATAAGAGGTCTGTAGGAAATATATTGAATGAGTTTTTGGGATCTTGCAGATCAAGTGGGCAATGATATAAGGACCAATGCGTTTTTGGGAAAATGGCCATTGTGCATCATCCTGCACAACATGATAATTGAAGATGAACGCCATGCCAATGTTGGAAGATGGACTCCGCCATCGGAGGAGACAATTTGATTCCCACTTTAATTCAAAACATATTGGTCTTTGCAGCTCACATCTACTTTCGCAAAGTCTAGATTTGCAACAGAAAGACAAATACGCAGTTGAGGAAAGATTTAATCGAAAATTTGTATAACCATTTTGTTGAAGAAAACGTTTAATTTATATTGCATTTTTTTTTAATATGTATGAAATTTGATGTAATAGAATATTTATTATGTAATTATTTTTTAAAACAAAATTATTATATTATTTGTTGTACTATTTTTCAATGACAATATTCTTCAACTAAACGGATATATTTGTAAATAATTCAATTTTGTAAACTAAATTATTAAGCAATACAATATCCATTATGATTTAATTCATTTATTATAGAGGTGAAAATAAAGGCATTTTTTTATTATAAAAAATCAATTTTTTAGGAAAATAAAAAAGAAGTTTATAAAATAAATTTTTTTGGTCAGATTAATAGTGCCTTAATGGCTATAATAGCAGTAATTTGTGAAAATAGAGTTACGCGGGGTGTGAAAACAGTTATTTGATTTTAATTGTGATTAACTCCTTTAATGACCTAGATCTGATTATTAGATCAACTTGCTCAATTTATGATTGATTGAATTATATGATCAATTTAGTCATCCACAATCACAAATATAAATACTGTAAAGTAAAGCAAGTAAAAGTTTAGAAAGATTGCACCAGGATTTTTAGCGAGGAAACCCTAGTTGATAAAATATGTCAACTATTTGCATGCGAAAAACCTCATGTACTATGCAGTTCAAATTAAACCAATCCACTATGTTTGAAACAAAGTATGCCGAACTTTGACTCTGGCTCACACTCTATCGTTCTACACCACACTAACCGCTGACGATCCTCTGGCTCTGCGACTCCCCGTCCAACAGCAACTTGACTTCAGGCTTATACTTGATATTTGTAGAAGAGTAGCAGGTAGATCAAATAACACTCCTCGAATGCTCCAACCCTTTTAAAGTGTGATCGCTTTTACTTCTGTTCTTCAAGATCTGAACTCGATTGTAAAAAAATTAAATCCTGCTAATCATCCGGAATATCTAAATCTTTAATACAGCTCCAATTCTGATTAGATGGAGAACAACACAACTAAATCACTCATAAATATATGTGTGTGCTCTCAAAAATAAATTCAGAATAATCAGATTTGATTTTCTGAATTTTTCTCTCTCTAAAGGCTTTCTCAAAATATAGAATTGATTTTCCCTAACCCATGAATAAACCTAGAAGATTAACAAGGTTTATATAGAGTTTAGAAT